ACTGTTTAACAGAACCAAAGCTGTTGTTCAGAGGTAACAGATCTACTTTAGAATGGAAGACAATATACTAAGTCCTTTGATATACTTTACGCCAATTCGTTGATCAGATTGTCCTGGTGGAAGCTTCACCTCAGCCCCTGGCATTCATATACCCAAAGAGTCTAGAATGTTCTGATGGAAGTCCCAACCCAAGCCCCCTCCCTTCTCTCTCTCCAAACTCTGCTGCATCTCAGAAAGCCCACCAAATGATGACCCCTCCCCCAGAGATGCTCAAGACCCCCACAGGGTATTTAAACTGTCCTCCAGAAAACAGACGGGTGGTTTTCCAGTGTCTCTTTCCTGTCTCTTCTCTGAAAACCATCAAGGAGCTTTGTATCCATTAAATGTGGGCTTTTTCTACTTCAGTTTGATTTGGACTGATTTGGATTGCTGCGTGGGTAGAAAGCTTATGAGGGTGTAGAAACTTTTCACAGATATTTTCTTGTGTGATTGCTAGCAGAAAATAAACTCAGATAAAAAAAGAAAAGAGAAACTTAGTTCTGGTAAAAAAAAAAAAAAAAAAAGGACTTCCTTGTTGCAGAATATTTATTTAACTAAGCAAAGATGTGTTACATTTGTTTCTGTTGCAGAGTATTTGTTTAATTATGTAAGATGTATTGTACTTGTTTTTCCTTGCCTGCCTAAGGCATCTGACTGGTCTAATAAAAAGCTGAATGGCCGATTAGCTAGACAGTAGAGGGATAGGCAGGGCTGGTGGGCAGAGAGAATAAGTAGGCAGAGGAATCTAGGCTCAAGAGAGAAGAGAATGAGGGAGAAAGAGAAGAAAATGCCAGTGGTCAGCCAGCCAGCTGGCCAAGGAGGAAGCAGGAAAGAGGACATACTGAATGAAAGAAAGGTAAAAATCCCCAAGTGAAAACACAGCTGAGGAGAAACAGGTTAAATTAAGTTATAAGGGCTAGTGGAGCAAGCATAAGGTAAGACTGAGCATTCACAACTAATAATAAATATCCGTGTCATGATTTGGAGGTCCGAGAAAGCCTGCTACACTTCCTAAGAAGAATATTAATCCCTGGTATGGGCAGATAAGTGTTTAAGGGCACTCGATTATGTGTATACTAGTGAGATCTGAATTTGTATATATGCAGGAGCACACATATGTGCAGGTGTACATGCATGAGGTCAGACAACAGCCTTGTGTGTTATTCCTCAAGTGTTGTCCACCTTATTTTTTGAGACAGGGTTTCTCACCGGCCTTAAACTGGTCAAACAGGTTAGGATGGCTGGCCAGAGACCAGGGTTCCTACCATTCTGTTAAGTATTATGTCTAGCTCTTCTTTGGAAATAGGAACTTAAGATACTGAAAGCTATCCCAGAAGAAAAATCTATAGACTCTCTGGGTCTAAGGTTCAAGAGCACTCTGGGCTAGGAGACTGGAGTTTGGGATTTCTTCTGAGCAGTAAGCTGAGACACAGTCCCGAACAGGGCATTATATATCACCACCCTGTCTGGCTGCCACCCCAGCTCAGAGAACCCCGAGGAAGAAGAGGTCGAAGGAATGTAAGAGCCAGAGGGTGGGGAAGAGCATGTGAAATGCTGCCTTTTGGACAGGGCAGCTGGACTTGGAAGCTCATGCAGCTGCACAGCTCTGGCCAACATCCCAGCAGGCAGCACCAACTGGACTCAGTAGGTTATAAAACAAAAATGGAGAGGATGTGAATGTGGGGACAGTGGGGTGTCTGTTAGGGGAGTACCCTGGTAGAGTGGAAGATGAGACCGGCAAGTCACTAGTGAATATGATCATGAAACACTATATACATGTAAAAACCGGCAAAGAATAAATAAAATATATACTTAAAAAAAAGCCCTAAAACAAAATTTAAATTATAAAACAACAACAAAAAGAAAGAAAATGAAAAGGCAAGAGCTGCTGCCAAATGACTCGTTTATTCTACCTCCCCACATCTAGATTTTTTAAAAATATGATTTCTGGGGGATAGAACTCAGATCCATATGCTTGCAAAGCAAAAACTGCTTTAGTTATCACCTTAGACTTAAGTTTGTAAATGGATAATACTACATATCAGTACCTGACCTCAGACTTAAGGTTTAGTTTGCTCATGCCAATTTTATCTAGAACTAAGAAACTTTACCTAAAACACTATACATGGAGTAACTGTCAAAGCAAAAACAATTACTACTGGATTCCACTCATTTTCAAAACTCAGAGCTCATTAGAAAGTCTGAGAATTTGAGGGAAAGTTAAATCAACACTTGCGGGGTGGGAGTGATACATGCCTTTAATCCTAGCACTAGGAAGGCAGAGTTAGGCTGATCTCTGTGAGTTTGAGGCCAGCCTAGTCTACAGAGTTGAATTCCAAGACAGCCTCCAAAGCAATACAGAGAACCCTGTCTCAAAAAATAAAAACAAACAAACAAATCTATACTGCTAAAGTTTATACTGAGGAAGATTTAAGCAAAACTGTCATTCAGGGCTGGAGAGATGACTCAGTGGTTAACTGCCCTTCCAGAAGACCCAGGTCCCATGCTGGCTTCTACATGGCAGCTCACCCCAGAGGACAGGGAGGTGAGATGGGAATATGCTGTCAGGGTACCCAGGTAGAGAGGGAGATAAGAATGTTAAGTCGATGGTGGATATGATCAAGATACACTGTATACACGTAAGAACTTTCAAAGAATAAATAAAATATGTGCTAAAAAAACTAAAACAAGGGGGCTGGAGAGAGGGCTCAAAGTACTGGCTGACTGTTCTTCCATGGAACCCAGGTTCAATTCCCAGCACCCACATGGCAGCTCACAACTGACTGTAACTCCAGGATCCAACACCCTCACATAGACATACATACAGGCAAAACACCAATAAAATAGAAATAAATTTTTAAAAAGCTAAACAAAACATTTTACATTTAAAAAAAACAACAACAAAAATAAGAAAGAAAATAGCAAAGTGAGAGGTCCTGCCATCTCCTAGTTTCTCTGTGCACTGCACATACATGGTGCACAGACACGCATGCAGACAAAATGCCCTACACACAGAAACACAAATAACTTTTTAAGAAACTATCATTCAGAAACAGCAAGCAGCTGTCTACAAAGTAATGCTCAAAGTATATTCTCAAACTTTTAAGTATTTCTCCGATGTGTCCTGGGATGCTTCTCAAGTGGGAATCCATGTCACTCAATCATGCCATCTTCCTGTTTTCACTAGCCCTTCTATACCTGCAAAAGCTTTCTAATTGTTTCAAGAAAGGATTCTCATAGCCCTGCCAGGATAGTAAATGATTCTTTTACCCTGTTACTAATTTAAAGTAACAACAGAAGTCTAATTTAAGGAACTCCAGAGTCAGAGGAACAGAGGGTGGTTTTGGATCAAACAAGAAACATTAATTGCATCAAACTCATCAAGCCTAAGTGTCTATCTCCACAGCACATACTGGTCTCTGGGCCAAAGCCTTCCAAGTATAGAATACATGGAGTTTCAGCTTCTTACTCGGTAGAAACATTTGTTGGCTGGAAGAGACTGAACATGCTTTGCATTGGCTTATTTTTCCTTTATTCCATATTTGGGAGGTGGGGCTTGGAGAGAAAGCATGGTTTTTCTACTAACTGAATGAGTGAGTGAGTAACTTCAGTGCTAGGGCTTGAACCTGGAGACCTGTATACAACTGCTTTACCATCACTGGGCTCTAGTCCCAAATCAAAAGCATAGTGCTAAAATGAGTTAAATAAGAGAGAGGAAAATCTTCCTAATTGTGGTAATGATAAAAATGGCCTTCTAGGGGCTGGCTCAGAGGTTAAGAACACTGGTTATTCTTCCAGAGGACCTGGGTTTAATCCCAGCATCCACATGTCACCTTACAAGCATCTGTAACTCCAGTCCCAGGTGATCTGAGGCTCTCCTCTGGTCTCTCAGGGTACTAGGCATACATGCAGCACACAGACATACATTTAGGCAAAACATAAAAATAAACAAAATTTTTTAAATAGTCACTTTAACCAAAAAAAAAATAAATAAATAAATAAAAGAAAGAAAGAAAAAGAAAAAAAACCTGGGCGGTGATAGTGCATGCCTTTAATCCCTGTACTGGAAGGCAAAACAGGTGGATTTTCTGTGAGTTCAAGACCAGTCTGGTCTACAGAGCGAATTCCAGGACAGCCAAGGCTATTACACAGAGAAACTCTGTCCTGAAAAAATAAACAAACAAAACCAAAAGTCTTCTAAGATGCCCATGTTCGAGGTCCTGGAATATAGGGAAGGACCTGTGATCGTTACCTTTTATGGGAAAGGAGACTTTTCAGATGTGAGTAATTTAGCAATCTTGAGATGGAGAGGTCATCCAGGTGGGGCTCATGTTATTACAAGTGTTCTTTAGGAGGGAGGGAGAGAGAAAGAGAAAAAAAGAGAGGGAGACAGATCGCACAGAAAGGAAAGGCAATATAAAAGCAGAAATAAATTTCAAGACACTATGCTACTAGTTTTTAAAAAGTGGGGTCACCAGCCAAAGAACTCAAGGGACACAGCTAGAGGCTGAAGAGGACACGAAGAGAAGAAACAATTAGCACTTCCTAGAGGAGTGCAGCTCAGCAGACACCCTGGTTTAAGCCCAATGAAACTTATTTGAGAATTCTGACCTCAAGAGCTGAAAGATAACAAATTTGAAACTAGTCAGTAAATTCATCTTTGTTACAGAATCAACAGGAAACAAATCAACCTAACCTCTTGTCTGCCGATGTGCAGCCCAACCCAGCTGTTTATTCATCCCTCTGACATCTATGCATATCAGGCACTAAGTGAGATGTTCTGGAGGAGAGAGACAGACAGAGGGGGTGGGCACGCACACACAAGCAGGCACACAGCCTCCATTCTGTACTCAAGAACTCACAAACCAGCGGGCTTCATTTTTTTTCTCTGCCAACTAACTTCATGCAACTGCTTTCCAAGTGATGCAGCCGATTAGATGGGGGAAATGAATTCTACATACCTGGTCATGGATGAGCCCATGATACAGAATGCTCTGCATGTCCCTGCAAAGACGCTCCAGGCCACCATACTTGGACCAGACATTGGGGCAGTTGGCTGACACCAAACCCTCCACAGTAGTCTTCAAATTACCCAGCAACTGCCAATGCTCTCTCCTGGAATTATACCAATGGTTAGTTAAGTTTGCTGGACCTGATCCTCGACACATATGTCAAAAAAAAAAATCTCCTGCCCTACATCCTGACATTCTCTCTTCAATTAACTTTTCACTTCAACAAAACTCCACTCTGGGAGTAATATAGTTATACTCAAACACTTATATTTATATAGCATATCACAGCTATTTGTGATTTTTAGGAGTGCAACCCATTAAGATCCATTTCTGAGCTGGGCAGTAGTGGCACATGCCTTTGATCCCAGCACTTGAAAAGCAGAGGCAGGTGGATCTCTGAGTTACAGGTTAGCCTGGTCTACAGTGCGAGTTCCAGGACAGCCAGGGCTATATAGAGAAAACTTGTCTTGAAAAACAACAAAACAAAACAAAACAAAACAAAAGATCTGTTTCCGAATAATGTTGATACATAGACAAAATATGAGAACACCCACCCACAATCAGAAATCTTTTTTAAAATTTTATTTTCATGTGTATGCATGTTTTGCCTACATGTATGTCTGTGACCATGCCATGCCTGTCCTGCAAATGGTGAAGGCTAGAGGAGGTCACTCGATCCCCCAAGACTGGGGTTACAGATGGTTGTGAGCTGCCATGTAGGTGCTGGGAATAGAACCCAGGTCTACTAGAAGGGTAGGAAGTTGTCCTTACCACTGATCTCTTCAGCCCAAAGTCAGAAATCTTTTATGATATAAACACAGCCCCCTCCCCATTCACTGTATTCCCATGCACTAAGTGGAGCACAGGAAAGGATAGAGGGTACTTCAGACATACACTTAGATACTATAGGTAAGAACAACAAACTACCTGTACTCTTTTATTTTTTTTTTTTCCTTTGAGACATCGTCTCATGTATTTTAGGCTTCCCTTGATCTTACTTTGAACTGGTGACCCTCCTGCCACCACCTCCCAAGTGCTGACATTACAGGTGTGTGCTACCAGCTCTGAGTTTATACAGTACTAGGGATCGAACCCAGAGCTCTCTTATGCTAGCCATACTCTACCAACTGAGCTACATCCCCAGGTCTACCATGAATTTTTTTTTCCTCTGTGATTTTTTTTAAGTGAACATTAAAATAAACAAGGTTTTAAGTTTGAATTCAAGTCACTTTGAGACATGTCACCTTGTCTTCCTAGACTATTTGATGCACTTCACTGGAAACATCAGAAAATTGCTGCCCCAGTCATTTTCCAGATTCCTCTTAATCCACAGCATTTTCCCTCCACAGCTTTGAATCAGTAAAAACTCAAAACCAAGTGCAACTGAATGCAGGACATGGATGTACTGATCCAACTGGACAGGAAAGCATAAGGAGATGATGTGTCCGACTACTGGTCTTTCCTCTTTTCATAGGAAACAGTAAAGATTTCTTCAGGAAACTTTATCATAACTATTTTATATCATGTAAACACCAGCAGAGGATGGATCCTGAATTATAATCCTTTCTACCAGTACAAAGCTAACCTTTTGTGCATTTTCTGAGCAATTTTAGAAAAGTGGATGAGTAAAGGCAGACAAGTAAAATCCATAGATAAAATGAGTGGTAGGAATAGGGTAGGAGAATAATTCATAAAGGGAGGGTCAGGCAGATTGGGCTTTTGCTTTGAAGGCCTTGTGAATAAGAATTTGTTTAACTGGGAGACATTCAGGTTTTCTTTTCCTTATTAAACATTTGAATCACCTCCTGAGCATGGTGGCTCATGCCCATAATCCCAGCACTCAGGAGGCTTCAACAGGAGGACTGTCATAAATTCAAGGCCAGCCTGTATTATAGAGTTACAGGCCAGCATGGGCAACAGAGTGACACTGTTTCTAAAACAAAAATACCGAGTCACCAGACTTCTCTTGTATTTCTATGCCAGTCCCAAAAGGCCCACAGAACTAACACAATCACTTAAAATGCCATTCACTTTTATATTATGAGAAACAGCCATTCCTAAGGCTGACTGACTACCAACTGTTGCTCACCGTCCACACCACCTGTGCTTCAGCAGGGCTAATCAACCTCTGGTCTATTTTGACTGTCTCAGTTTTCACATTCCAATACACTACAATCAAGCCTTACAGGACTAACAACCAGTATGGCTCAGCAAGAGGCTGCATACCTGTGTTCTGATTCATTCTGGGGCAACACTACATTAACTTCTTAAAGAATATCACCAAGTAGACATCATTCTTTGCTCCCAAAATTCTACAAAGAACACAGAAGTCCTGGAACTTCTGAGCACTGAGATCTACCAATAATGTCTTCTGGAAAAAGCTAAAGAACCTTCCTTTCCCACAACTAAGTGTCCCTGAGATGCCAAAGCAACAAAGAAAGTGGCTCTTCTCCAGAGGCATCCCAAGCACTCTATGCTTGGTGGGTGCTCATTTGGAAGAATGACAAACCTTTAAGATTTGTATTTACATAGTTGATTATGCCTTTTAGTATTATCTATCTTATTGATGGAAATATTTTCAGAAGAGTTGAGATATTAAATTAACTTGAAGTTCATCCATTCATGCCCGAACCTTAGATGTAAGTAAAGAGAACACCATGGAGAATCAAGTATCTCCTCTGCCCTACCCCGTGTGTGTGTGTGTGTGTGTGTGTGTGTGTGTGTGTGTGTGTGTTTGTACAGGTACACATGGTGGCCAGAGGTCAACCTCAACCTCAGCTGTTGATCTTTAGGAGTCATACACTTTGTTTTTTGAAACAAGATCTCTCACTGGATCTGAGGCCTGATGCTTTGGTTAGGCTGGATGACCAGCAAGTCCCAGGGAACTGCTTGTCTCAGTATCCCAGAGCTGGGATTACAAATACATGCTACCACATCTGGTTTTGTTGTATGCTTGCTTGTTTTTAACATGGGTATAAGGAAGAGAGTCCAGAGCCTCATTCTTGCAGAGCAACCCCTTCATCTACTGAATTACCTCCCCAGACCCTTTTTAGAAGCAAAAGGAAACTACTCTAGCACATCCCTCTCACAGGATGTCATTTATCAAGGATGGGGATCATTACAGAGATCACAGGTTGTACCAAGTCAAGCAATGATTTGATCCCTGAAATGGAAGGTGGGATATTATATCAACATGACAGAACACCAAAAAAGACTTACATTTTGGCTGGGAGGTAGTGGCACATGCCTTTTGGACAAAGGGAAGCAGAGGCAGGAGGATCTCTGTGAGTTTGAGGTCAGCTTGGTCTACAGAGCTAGTTCCAGGACAGCCAGAGCTACACAGAGAAACCCTGTCTCAAAAGCAACAACAACAAAAAGGCAATTAAATTTTTATCAGAAAGATTTCCAAAGCTATGGTAGCATGAGAGAGAACTGATCTTAATGTTAAAATACTAAAAAACAAAACGCATTGAGAGTGTGACAAGAGGGGACTACACAGGAGAGGAGTTGTTAGGCCCTGTCTGAGATTAGCACAGGGGTGGGAAGATGGCTCAGGGGTTAAGAGCACTCGAAGAGGACTGGATTCAGGTCCCATCACTCACATGGTGGCTCACAACTGTCTGGGATTCCAATCCCAGGGGACCTGACATCCTCTTCTAGTCTCTGAGGGTGCATACGTATACATGCCAGTAAACACGCATACACATGAAATAAAAAGAAACAAAATTTTTAAAAAGCAACAATAATCTGAACCAAGTTAGCACACAAGAGCTGGAAAGTACCATAAAGGGTTTTTAAATACTCAAATGTCAACAGGTGTCTCGAGTTGAAACTCTGACTCAGCAAGCCCCTGGGACTTTCAAGGCCAGAAAGCACTTACTAGAAAAAACTGGTTCCTTCTCTAGGTACAGAAAGACACAAAATAAAAGAGAAAGAATTATTGATAACACTTGAGGTAGCAGAGACTCCCATACTTAGAATTTAATAATTCTTCATACCTGGCTATATAATTTGTCTTTTACATATTAAACTTTTAGATGTTATGATTAAATATTTATGCTGCTTCTTTAATAATATGCTTATAGAAAAACATATTTAGCTCTATTGTAAAGTTTCTTAATTCTGAAACATGCAAGAGAACCTAGCCATTGGTCAGCCTTGTTCTTTTAATGAGAGTATCTTGATACCTAGGAAGAATTAAGCATTGTCTCTAGACAGCTTTATAACTTATACCTATTCAACAAATGCCTCACCAGTCATACCAAACTTTAATGATACTGGAATTATTGAATTCCAATGATAAACAGATTTAACAAAAGGCAGGAGAATTCCTTACACTAGGAACTATACCCATGGCTGACATACAAGTTCCTTAGTATCGAGTTCACATATTCATCATCACTTGGTCTCAATCTAAATACTAACCTTCCTGCTAGACTCTAAATAAAACGAAGACTACTTAGTATACCCTATCACACACAAGTCAACCTCACTCTGACTTCTGTGATTTTATTCACCAGATCTTTCCACTAAGGATTTCTCTTCTCCTATCACCTTATTTAGGGATTCAGGTTCAGCTCTAACTCAGCTTCTTCTCAGAGACATTAAATAATCTGCTTCACTGATTCCTTTATTAGGATCCCCATATCCTATGCTATCAATAGGCCATTTTCCCTCATAATGTATAAAAATTGCCATCATAATTACTACCGGTGGCTAGTGCCAATCATGTTGTCAAAGCAGGTCCTATAATCAACCAGACAAATTGATGAAACATTTGTATGAAATGATTTTAAAAGAAAAGGATGAAGTGGGTCATGGTGACACACACCTTTAAATCCTAGCACTTGAGAGGCAGAGGCAGGTGGAGCTCTGAGTTTGGGGCCAGCCTGATCTACAGAGCAAGTTGTAAGACAACCATCACAACAACAGAGAAACCCTTGTTGTAGAATATTAGTTAAAGATGTGTTACATTCTTTTTTTGCTGTGGATTATTTGTTTAATGATGCAAAAATGTGTTGCATGCTTTTATATTATATTTGTTTAACTCTGCGAAGCTATATTACTTTGCCTGCTTAAAATGCCTGATGATCTAATAAAGAG